TCTAAGGACACTTTTCAAGATAAATTTTTAATTTGGGAAAATGCCCATTTCAGTATTTTCTCAGCTGTGCATGTGACTTTCTTGGCAAATAATGTGGTAAGCATTCAGAATAGGCATATTTCTAAAAACCCTGCAGTCCATAAGAAAACCTAAGTAACAGTGTCTGTATATTCATGGTGACACTAAGGACGAGAATCTGTCCCTAAATACTAAACCACTTTTATAGATCTCTGCCATGTTCTTGGAGCACACTTTTATAACACAAAAAGCATGATATTATCATGTGGTTATGACAAGAAATTTCCTACATAAATCAGTTATTGTGCTGTTTACTTAAAGGATGAGTGAGTCTGAAACTTCTTGGTACTAACATAAAATAAATTTTTACAAGGACAACATTTTAATGGATGCTAAATTTTCAAAATTTACAAACAAAATCCAAATATTAGCAGAAGAGTATTTATGGCCCAATTTTGTTTCTCTCTTGAGAGAGAAGTCTATTTGTGGACTAGTAATGTTATTTTATTAAACATCAGAACCAAAATTTAAATTCAAGTATATAACCTTAATAGGTATAATCAAAATAGGTAAAAATATCTAAAATAATCACACTGGTACACAAGAATATGAAGCCATTTACAGAAAGAAAAGGAATGTGGCAATATGTTTTATTGCAGTCTGTTAGTCCTCTGAACAGAACTAATGCTGTTTTAATTATTATTTAATGTCCTGGATCACATTCTTACACCTTATCTCAACTGTATCTTTCACTTCTGCTTTCAAGAACCACATATTTAGTCTTTGTTAGCGTGAATCCTTTTAGGGGAAGGAGTCAGGGTCACGAGGGTTGGAAAAGGTTGTCATAGAAAGCATTCAAGGACCAAATAAGATAAAAAAAGAACAGAACCAAGTCCTCACAGCACATTTAGTAGGGCACTGAACCTAATTCCAAAAGGCTTACTGGGCGTATGATACAAGGTGGCCAGTACAAGTTACTTGAGTCCCTTGTCATTTATCTGTTAAAAAGGCTACTTCAAAACTTACCTTTCTTTAAAAAAACCTTTGAAGTCTGTCTACAGAAAAGCACTGCAAAAAAGGGAGATATGATTATTTCTTACTACAACTACTATTTAACAAGCTCTTCATTTACAACATCTTTTGGGGTCTTCTCTGTTGATACTAACCATGTCTACTGCCCAGGTGATTGTTTTCAACTGAATGAAAGTAAAATTTCACCAAATCTCCACGGATAGGAGTCATGACAGTTCAGATGCCAGAAAAAGGACAATGGCTACCAGGTCTGCATGGACGACTTGGACTGAAGAAATAAATGGCTGAGAAACTTCTAATACATTTGCAGTTTGTACAGATGACAGTGATAACTTATTATGCCATATGGAGGCCCTGACTAGCAGCCAGTGGCCTTAAATTACATTGAAATTGATTCCTACACTGCAGCTTTCAGCTGTAAATGATGTCAAAAGACTATGGGCTTAAAGTGAAAATGAATAGAAATATATAAAAGCAAATGAGCTCTAATAAATCCTTATTAATCTGAGGCAATAATGTGCATCATCACTGAAGCCCTATGCCAGTTATTGCCAGTTTATCAGCTACATTGCCTTTTTAAAAAGAATATAGACATCAGGTTGTGTACAGAATTCTCCCTTTCAATCCACACACATTACATAATGATATTAAATTACAGTACATAGTTAGTTAAACATTACTCTTTAAAATTTCTTGAATCTTGTAGCCGATCTTAAATACTGCATGTACTCTATTAAATACAAGCTCACCCAAGAGACATAAACTGACTGAAGCCAGGAAATTCTAAATGAAGGCTCAAGCTGACATTTTGTCCCTAACTTATATCCTCATAGCTACTAAGAGTGCACGTCCTAATGGTGTTTCTTTCTTTATTTGTACAAATAATATTATTGCAGCAGTCAGAGCCTTCATTTAAGAAAGCAGGGTACATAAACTACCTTGAAACTTGGCCTGTGGTGGAAAGACATAGGTATAGAGTCTGTCCTTCTTGTGCTCCTTTTTTGACTATTTCTGGTTCTGATGAAAAGAAAAGAAGGTCAAGAAAAGATAAGCATTTAAATAAATTCCCAGACAACTTCCAGTTTGTGATTTAATAAATTCAGCCAGCTTGCAATGGTGTAATTTTAACCACACCTCTTGAACTGCTATCGTCAAAATAAATCTGAAAACAATGAAGCCATAGTAAACGAAACCACAAAATAAAAACTGAACAGTCATAAGGGAAGAGAAAGAAACCCTGCAAATAATATATAGCCTTGTACCCCAGAGACAGCAGAAAACAGAATTCTTATCATCCATCGTGCTGAAAATTAAAGTGTTAAACATTTCTACAGTCAGTCAATTATATTTTCTGTGTATGTTTCCTAAGAGTACACATTTCGGTGTCTGGCTCAGTGATACGCTAACAACAGAACATCAAAGAGAGGTAGACTCTGGGCAGATACAATATCAAAATCACTGTAACTCAAAAAATACATCATTAGTCCACAGAAGCAGGATCCATTGACAATAAGTCATGAAAAGTGATTACCCACTATTTAATAACAGGAACTAATAAAGATAAATAAACCAAACTAGGTTTCATCACATTTCACTCTACCACCAAGTGCCTGCACAACTTTGGGCAAATCACAAATCTTAGGGCTTGATTTTGTCCATCTGTTAATTGGTATAGTCTTAGCTATACCATATGGCTAGATTGGTAGAAGAACCCTCTGCTAGTCTGCAGACAGATATAAGACAATGAAGATTAAACAGAATTTCAAGTTATAGTTCAAAAGCCCTTTTCCATAGCTGTTTTCAGCATCAAGATTATGCTAAAACTTTGATATAAAGTCATAATATGTTACAGCAGCTGATTGATCCCGGGGGCTTCAATAAGACAGTTGTTGCGTAATTGGGGTATTCACAACAAGGTGAGACATCACCTGCTTTGGTAAGTCCTGAGCAGACCGGCTATCCCATGAAGCGGAGTTAAAGCGCAGGGTGTTCGTTGCTATTATGTGTGGCTTGAATATGAGCTAGCTGATATCTGGAAGAAGCATGTCTCTGTTTCTGTGGGGCTGTGCTTGTAAGTAAATTCCTTCAAGACCATGGTAGGATGCTCGCTGTGCTTAGACTTCATAGCTTCAACTTCTGCTAGTGTGGTATCTCTGCACCACATTGCACTTACCAACGGTCTCCCCACAAAACAGTTGTTTAAAGCCACCGGAGGTCTTTAAGTAATCTGAGAGGTCACTACATACAGTTAGCACCTTACAGCCAAATTCAAATACTGAGCTGATTTTAAAGCATAGGAGAAGATCGGTTTTGTTAGTTGTCTTTTTCTTCTGTAATATAAAGTTACATAATTTGGTCCTTTGTTTGAAATTTCATTCAATTATCTAAACAAAAATTCTCCTAGCACTGCAAATCCATTTGCACGTTTCTCTCTCTTCAACCTGTCCTTTAGTCTCAACAGATTTAGTTAAAACTAGGAAAATGGAAAAAGACTATCTTTCTCAATAGGAAAAAATTCTTCCTGGTAATGAGATTATTATGGCTCACAGATTGCCATCATCACACATATTGGCTGCTCCCTCACTGCAAGCATCCCAGTCAAATCACGATGCCGTTAACAGAGTAATACACCTCTCAAAATGCCTTGGGCTAGGAACACATTGCTGGCGCATTTCAGGTAATGTAAATAAAGCACTTCCATTTGTTTTGTAAAATGTCAGCTCAAACTTGGCTGATCCCTTTTCAGATTCAGTCTTAAACTTTTTATGAAAGAGAGCAAAGAACAATTCTGTGAACCTGAAAAGGCATTTTTGGCAAACAGAGTATTTGAAACACAATAATCTTCTCTCCCCTCTTTACTAGCAAAACAAGTCACATTATATTTGACGAAAACTCTGTTGTTAAAAAATGTTATTTGAAAATTCAAGATGCTTTTTTTCAACATTTCATTCTAATTTTTCATTTTGAAATTTAGCTATATTTTGTTTAAGAGGAAGAAAAAAACAGCCAAGAATGAAAAGCTTTAGTCTGAATCACTGGGTGGTTTTTTCCTGTTTTGATAATCCCCACCACCACCCAAAAAAACTTTCCTATCCATCCATGAAATCAAAAATATCAAGTATTCACAAGTAGTTGGCTTACTTCTCTATCCTACTCCCTTTCTCAGCAACTTTGTAGGACAAAGGCATTTGAAAAAGAACTGAGAAACAAATGCAAACCCCCTTAACTGCTGGAATCAATAAAATGCTCTGAAGTTTTTAAAGAAATGAATTACCCATTGCTTGGATATTTTAAACTAAAATGATCATGACAACAATTAATGTGCAAGAAAGATCAAACCTACAGTGGAAAAGATTTGGAAAACAGACACAGAGTTCTTGATCACATTTAACTTTTATGGTGCCCTACTGCTCTACATAGCAGAGTTCCAGTGAATGCTCACAAGCATTTACTAGGATATGCACGTTTCTTGCTCGCTCTTTCTTTCACTCAGCTGCTTCTATCACACTACCCAGCCCAATTAATCCCCAAATTTTTTTGAGTCATTTTGGTTTTTTCTCCTGAACAGCTTTATTGAACAAAGGCATGATAATATAAGTATGCATCCCTTCCTGATATTTATTCCCTTTCATCCATTTCAACAAGGTCCAACAAAATAACCCTTTATATTTGCTCTAAATCTGGAAAAATGGTTGAACAGACTCTTGTTGTTTTTGGCTGAAGACATCATTAGCTGCTAGATGCCTTTTTCCTGCTAAAGGAAAGAGTTTCCCAAACGGATCAAGGTGAAGGTTTATCCAAGATTAAAAGCCTAAATTTGAAAACATAGCTTTGTGTTGTCCACAGACTAAGTTCCAGAAGACCCAAAAAAAGCAGAGCTGCTTCGGACTTTTGCAAAAAGCACTTTTAAGTATCTTATGAAATCACTGTAGAGAGACCAGAATTATTTAAAAAGGATTATTTATTAAACATATTTCTTTACAAAGTACAATCAATTGTTTGCATTAAATTTTGGATTTTGGTATTTGCCTGTATGTACACAAAAGCTTATAACAGAAAATGTGTCTTGATTTTACACATGGGAAATAATACTGAGTTACCTTCATATTTTGATTTCTACCAACATAAGCAGTTGATAATAACTTTCAGCTTATCTGCTGGGTTTTTTTAGACTGAAGATGAAGCGACAACATTTCTGCAGTGTCAGTATGTATCAATGTACTCGATTATGACAAAGTAGAAATGAATAATGCTTTGGGAAGTTTCCACCGAGCATGAGTGGAACGTGATATTTTTTGGCAGGTTACTGGACTATCCTTATGATCCTAAAAATCATTTTTTGCAGTTATAAGATAAGAAGAATTGAGGAGCTAGGTAAGTTTAATAATACCCTATTAGCAGCAGTTGATAGTAAATGCAACATAAGGTTTGTTTTGTCTGTCATACAAGGACGTGTCCTAGCAGACACTATTGTATTGTTCTCTACTTGAACAAAAGTATCCGCATGTATTGTATGTCTTTGGAAAAACAAAACAAAAATAAAGAGACAAGAAGCCATTTATTGTCATGAGTGACTATTGCCATCAGCTAATATGAATGCATTGCTAAAATTAGTGAAGACAGGAAAATGCTGTAAGGTAAATATATACAGAGTTAAAATACATTTCTTATCCACTAGATAGTGATTTTGTGGCACTGTGGTTTTCAGAATATAACGTCTGTTGAGAGCAATGTAATTTTCAGTGCAAGCTAAAGCAAAAATACCTGCCCGCTGTCATAAACATGACAAACAAATCTGGAATGTTCAAAGTAAGTTCATCTTCCACTTCTCCACTCTTGAGGCACCTTTAAGACATGGCACTTACTGTAAACCATCTAAAAATCAAGAAAAGCAGACACGATAAGCCTGAATTTTCCGTAACAACTTTAAAAATCACTGCCAGAGTCACTTGCATACGTAAACGATGCCTGTGTAAGGCTTGCCAGCAAAGTATCTTTCCTGAGAACGGAGCTGGGACACTCTCTGTGTATCATAAGTGTGCGTGCTCAGAGCTGTGATCGCTGTCGTGGCTGTCGTCGTTCGCTAGTGAGTCCCCCGTGTGCTGGAGACCAGCTGCGCCGATGCCAGAGAGCTCGGAGGGGAGCAGCGTGCCCTTTTTCACGTTCACCAGTTCCTTCTCCCGGGCCGCTGCCCCTTGCTGGCCCCCTTTTACCCGCTTCCACTTCATTCGTCTGTTCTGGAACCAGACCTTTACCTTTGGGGAAGAAAGAGAAAAAAGGAAAATAAAGGTGGGGTCACTGAAGGTAATAACGATCTTTCCAGCTTTAGCACAGCGCTTCTGTACTTTTTCTTTCTTTTAATGTGCCTTTCTGTCCGCGTAGTAAAAAGCTTAGCGAGCCTTCCCTGAAGAGCAGGCAAGCCAGTTTTGGGTAAGACATGAACCCCGGGGATGTGAGGAGAACACCTGCAATGGAGGGAAAGGGGTTACTGCAGGAAGGCAGCCGGGCTATCTGCAGCAGAAAGCTCCACAGGAAGATCTCAGAGCCCTTTAGAAAACATTAAAAAGCTCACATACTCTTGAAAAACATATTAATGCCATTTCACAGGCAGAGAAACAGAGGCAAAATGGTTCCCATGAAGGGACTGAGCAGAAGAACCTACTTATCGCGTAAGACAGAGCCCCGTCTGGTGGCGGGGACTGCTGCCCCTCATCCTTACAGTGCTTTTAATTATCCTTCAGAGGAGGGTACTTACTTTGGAAAGGAACTTGCACTGAAAAGTTTGCATTGCGTTCAGCCTGTCTGTTTCTGTAAACTGGTGGCGAGTTTCAGGTGAAGCACTTTAAAAGCTCTTTATTTTTTTGGTCTTTTTCTTTTTTTAGTTGGCTCATCCACAATTCTACTACATTTATCCGTACAGCCTGGTCAAATTTTTCAGACAAATAAATACCCCTAAAGCCAGAAGGCAAGGCATTTATAAATTTGAGTCAAAATTCCAAAAATGGAAAAGAAATTCATAGCATGAAAGATTAAAAATGTATCTGTATTTAAGTCACATTAAACCCCAAGATTTTACTCCAGCTGAAACTCATTTCCCCTCCTCCCCTTCTCTGTATAGAAATATATGGGGGGAAGTAAACCTAAATTATTTGCACAGTTCTAAAGTACCAGCACTGCAAACCACAAGGACTTTTTTTCAATAGCCAAAAGAAAAGAAAAGAAAAGAAAAAAAAAAAAAGATGTGCATAGCATCTGTCAAATATATTAGACCAGATTAAAGGCTGATTTCAAATCAAGTTAAAATATTGTCACTGAAAATAGTATGAATAGAAGACTGTTGGATTTGATCCATTTAAAGTTAATGTTGCTAAAAAATCTCTTGCGTGTGTGCCTGTGCAACTCTTCACGTGAAGGTTCCACAGAAAAATAAATGATGTCTGCAACTTTTCACTTGGAAAGAAAGCAAGGAAGCTTGCAATGTTGGTGTATCCTCTGCTGCGTTTAGCAGAATGTGTTTCAGAGTTTTAAAAGAAACAGCAAGGAACAGGCACAGCAGGACATATTGTACAACATGAGTAATAGAGCCACAAAAATGCTGTTTTGCTGAATCTGTCTTATACATCCAGGAAACATCGCAGTGTTTAACCTTTACTATCACTTTGAATTTTACATTAAAATCTTACTACAGCTGAACTGATAGTTAATGTCACTATCTGTATGTACGTATGGGGGAAGGAAGAGACATATATTTATTTTTTTATACTCTATTCCTGTTAAAGCCAATGCGAGCTGTTAAAGCCAGTCACTTGGGAACAGAGCAAAATGATTCCAGGTTAGTTAAGAGCCTCAAAGTACAGCACATCCTTTCCTTTAGTCAACTCATCAGAGCCAAAGAATCTGGCTTATAAACTGAAATGAGTGTAAAGGGGAAGGTATTTATTACTGGCTGCTGTGATGCTGGGAATTACCATACTCGGGTCACGTATCAGAGGTGTCCATGGAAACAGTGTCTTCAAAAGGCTACAGCACTGGCAGCTTTCTGGAGGAAGTTAAGATGTCATTTTGTTTGTTTTTTAAGTCTATGAAGTTTCTCTTCCAAAGACGCTACTCTAGTGGTGCCAGACAATGCCGAAGATGCAACTGCAGTCCTAATCTAAACATCAAAAATAACACACTTTGGATTCAACCCAGTACTGCAGAATATCATCACTCTTCTTCTGAAATAAGGGTCAAGAGAATTGTATTCAGTAAGAAGAAATTACAGGATTGTAGTGATGTTTAAAAGATCTAAGCACTTCTCCAGATATTTTTATGTCCTTCAGTATTCACAGAATAAGTCGCAGCATTGAAAGCCTGAAACAAAATACCAATGTATACAAAAAATGGTATCAAGAAAAATTACAATAATGCATTTGAAGCAAAAATTTCAATGAACAGCCTGGATTCAACCTATTTTAACCTACCAGAACAAGAGAGATCCAGGCAAACCACCTTCCAAAAGCATTCATTTCATTTTTGGACACTTGAGAAACTGAAGCTAATAGTCCTACAGCCATTGTCAGAAACGAGCGTGAGCAGGATGATTACTGCCTGGCTCCTGATGCAGGTGCTCATTTCTGTTCTCTTCTCACAGACAGAGTTAAACTCTCCTATTTGTTGGCCTGACATATTTTTACCATTTTCTACTCCAATTTAACAAATTATTGTTTTTTGTTTTTTCTTGCAGTATTTTGTGACTGCTGCTTTTTATAATACGAGTCACTTCACGAAACCACAGTCAAGAGCAGTCTCTCTTCTTGAGTGTTAAACCAATCAGGAGAACTGATTGGCCCCAGCTTCCAGGTAGTGAGTAGCTGAGAACAGGCTGGGGATTACCTCTTCATTCAGATCTCCTACCCTCAGACTAGCTCATCCGACCATGCCCTGAAATGCCTCCACCAGGGATGAGTCTAGGTCGGCATCTGTGTATTAGTTGATATAAATCAATTAAAGGCCAACCCTTTTCAAGGATAAGTGCAAGATACATTTATAAATTCCTCAGAGGATCCAGCATGCAGCGCTGTTTCTGCACATGACCCACTGTCTGGGAAACATGGCATTTAAGGAAAGTAGGTCTGAAAGGACTCCAGCTACCTTTGCACGCACTCTCTTGAGTGCAGGGGGAAGAGAGTAACCCTGGCACTTCCATAGGAGGATATATACTACTGACTGGCATACAGCTTGTCAGGCTTCCTATAAAGAGGAAATGGTAACAATTTAAAAAAAAAAATTTAAATGATAAAAAAAAACTTTAGGCTTTTTTATTAATGACTTCAAATAATCTGCATCTGATTTACTTTGAGAATATCAAATAAGAAATTTCTTTATTTGCTTATGTCGAAGATTGTTTCCAGAAGTTAGAAATAAAGTATAGTGAAGTTTATCGTTGAAAATATTATGAGTTTGTTTTTATGTCGTTTGCTGCATTGATGTACAGCGGGACTCTTCTACAAGGGAATACATAAGGTATTTTGTATATATATTTCTTTATGACCTCCATTATAAAGTACTGAAATCCACTTTTGACCTCATCCAAAGTACACTAATGTCAGTGTGAGTTTTTCCATTGAGTTCAATGGACTCTAGATGAAGACTTTAATGCTCGTGTGCTAATAATATGAGACAGGTCCTTCACTTGTTATTTCCTCTAGAGATCAAATTCAGATACTGGAATTCTGAACTTCCTTTGGAGCTGAAGAGTCAATTATGGAGGGTATAGTTGTTACCGATATGTGATCCAGCTATATTTTAGTAATGGGAAGGAAGTGAAGCAAACTTTGTGTGAAGTACTTCAGCATGTCAGTTTATCTGGATTCACAGAAAACTGTTTTTCAAACACAGGACTCATTTGAAACTTACGGGTGTTGCAAAAAACATGCATTAGAACAAAACAACCTGAGAAAGAAAAGGAGAAAGGAGAAAGAAAGAAGAGAGAGAGACAAAGAGAAAGCAAGACTGAGAGAAAGGAGATAATTACCTGAACACAATAAGGAAAAAAGAAATAAAAACAAAGCAGAGATAAGAAGTCCTTACTGAAGTGAACTTGAAAAACTCTCAAACCTCTTCCTGTGAAAGAACCAGCTTGTGCCATTTACAACTTTTGCAAAAATGACATCCTTTTAAAGTAGTTTAAAGATCTGTTATGACAAACTTGATACTGTAGGGCTTTTTAACCTTTTTTGAAGTCTAAGTTAGCTCCAGCAGGAGCTGAGAGTGCTCACCACCTCCCAGAATCAGGTCCTGATTGCCTATTATTTATTAAAATGCACTCCCTCTTCTCCACCCTCTGACTAGCACAACTTAACTGTATAAAGCAAGCATATGTATGTATGGAAAACAAAGGAAGTGGGGGGAAATAAACTGTATTAAAGATGATGGTAGCATTAACAGCTGTTTCTAAATCAGCACTTATGAGCGAGTCTATTGAGCACATCTGCTTACTGGCACGAAAGCGCAGTTTCTTTTCCCTTAGTCAACAAGTTGTTTAGCATCTGCATCTCCACATCTGATGATTAGACCGTTACTTAAGATACGAGTAAATGATTTCACATTGCACATCTCCTGATGTACAAGAGAAATGTTTTTGCTGTGACCAATTTATTTTAAGGTCTACTCTGTAGGAATCATGGGAGGAGATTCAAAACAAGGGGGTTGACATTGTTAATGTCTACATTACGAAAGTGATCATTATATACTTATGATATATAGGTCCTTAGTAGGCTAAAGGGCCACATTTTGTTCTGTCTTGCATGTATATCTTTAATACAACTTCATGATGTGGACAGCCATGCATCATTTTGGTTCCAAATGAGCATATCAGCTAAATTTCTGATTTAATACTCCTTCTTCAACAGAGCCCTTCAGTATCATTAACTTTAAGAATAGCTGACTTCTACCATGCTCTGTAGAATGCAGATACTTCCTTTTGACATGGGATTTTAGCATTCTGTACTTACAAAGAAAAACTAAACAGGTTCTATAATTAATAAGTATTTCTTAATAAAGACATTCTTGCCTGAAAAATTAAAGCATGACTGAATTCAAACTACCTTAGTTGCACTGTCTGCTGTCTGTCTTCTTCTAAGAAAAAAGACATTTCTCTTTAAAAAAGCTCTTTTCTGAAATGAAAGATTCTTTCCTAAAATGAGGTTTCTATTCCAGGTTTAATGGCACGAGTCCCAAACGAGATTAAAATTTGAGGCCTGATATCTCGCAA